CATTCAGGTGGTGGTGTTAATGGTTTCTTTTTTGTTCGACTATATTTAATATAAATATAATAATAAGAAGAAGAATTAAAAAAATTAAAACAATTATTCCAAATATCCATAATAAATTATAAAATGTATCAGGACTTTGTGTTGAAACTAATTTGGGTAATAAATTTATTTGTATTGTTGAACTTGATGTTGTTAAATTTTCTTTTTTACGATTAAAACCCCATGAAACTAATTTAACTTTTAATGGATGTGAGATGGGAGAATTATTATAAACTCGACCAGGAAATGGTTCCCAATCACGTGTTTCTTTACCATCACCTAATACAAATACATCTGGTAATTGTGATTCATTAAATACAGCAGCAGTATAACAACATTCTCGATGACCCTCTTGTGGTACATATTGTTGATAAGAAATATGTTCAATACGATGAACAACAATATAATATCGATCAATTGGTCCATTTTTTGTTGATGCACGATGAAGACGTAAATAAACTTGTGGACTCGATGATAAACTATTTGTTTTGAGAAAATTTTTTCGATCTTGTTCAGGTCGATCAACATAAGGTGGTGCATCATAATCAGTTGAAAAACGTATTGTAGCTGGTCGACTATAAATTTTAATAGATGCATGATCTGGTGATGATATTGTTCCACTTAAATTAAATGTATATTGAGTATTTGGAACTAAACCTGTAACAAGCCATTCACGTGAACCTTGAGTAGGAGGTATTGATATAAGACCAGCTAAATTATGATGTGATGTACTACGTGTTGTACCTAAACCATCGACATAATTTTGAATACCTTCATAATGTACCTATTTAATAAAAGAAATATATATGTTTATATCAATTATTCATTTCGATTGACTCACTTCAAGTTTTTGTATTTGTCGACGATGATCAAGATTTGTTTCATTAAATAGAAATAATAGTTTAACACTATTAGATGTAAGATCAACATAAGTTAGATTATATGGTCGACTTAATTGTTCATCATAATGAATAATATCTTTTGAACCTTAAATAAAAGAATAATTTAACATAATTTTCATATTAAAGTAGAAATAAACCGGGTATATGTCAATAAGTCAACTAATTATAATTACCCTTTCAGGCTACATTGACGTCCGATGACTTATTAAAACATACTAAGACTTACGATTCGTGATAGTCTTTCATGCATATAACCTCTTTTCACATAAAAATAAAAAGATTGGAATATGTATACCGATAATTAATATTCAATTAGAAAGGCAAGTACATATATATATGACATTTTTTCTTTAACTAATTCTGACTAAAAAATTCTTAATATATTTTTTCATAAAACTAAAATCAATTCTAAATTATAGATTTTATTAACTATCTACCCTATAATTATCAACGCATGCCCAAATAATGATGCTATTATAAGAAAGACTAATTTCTTTTTTTTCTTCATATAGAGTAATCTTGAATAGATCTGTCGTATGGAACCTTGTAGAAACGTCATCAGAAAATAATAACTTTATATTCCAATATATTAATAAATAGAAAGCCTTCTAATCGAAAAAGTTTCTATTTTTATATCTATATCTATAATATTTTTGTTAAAAAAATGTGATGCTTAATCCTTATCTTAAGTATCAAAATGATTTTTTTAATAAAAAAAAATCGTTATCATATAGATCTAGGATTCAATTATAAAGTATAACTTACATAAAAAAGAAAAGGCAATTTTTTTGTTACTCTATTAATTATATCAAAAATTCTTCGTTATAAACCTCATGAGATAATGATCTACACAATTGATTATTGATCTCAACGGACAAACTAATAGAATTGATGATTAGTACAAGAGAGAACATTTTTTTTTGTTTCATAAGATTGATCAGTCATTTTTCTAGTGATTATTATATGATGATGCTGGTCAGTTGAATAGATCGTTTTACGAACCAATGATTACATGATAGACACATCATCACGTTGATCACCAGACGGAGATCATTAAAAGTATATGTGCATGAAGAATTTATCACGAAAGACATGTGCATATATTTATCTCTTGCTGTTTAGAATACAATCCAACATCGATTAATATCAGAATTCTTCTAGATTTAAAAATTCATAACTAAATGGATGCGTTTTTTTTTGTTAAACTATTCATCTAATAATATACTCTATTCGTTCTAAAGGAACTAGTACTATTAATTCACTCTGATTAGTTGAGGAAAATGGAAGAGACATGACATCGAAGAAAAAAAAACATTTGCTGTCATGCAATGACAGAAAAAAGCAAGTTGTCTATCATTGAATAGTCAAAAGAAAATGGAAACTTACGACGATATATATCAGCAACTTGAATTTCGGATAAATCTCCTTCACGAGGACTTGTCCCCGATGTCTGTAGTGGATCATGACTATTTAATGACGAAAATTCTGCATTAACACGAACATTATACATCGCATCTGGTTTTAAACCACTTATGATTGCAGATGTTGCAGCAGGATTTGGTGGTGAAAATAGTGGCCATGTATTTTCAGGTTTACTTTCAGCTTTATCATTATAATGAACAATATATCGTGCAACGGATGGATGATATATTGGTGACCAAAAGACTTGAATAGTTGAGTCATTTACACGTACAACACGAACATCACGTGGTGCTGGATCTAAATATTTAAAAATGTATTTAAGAAAATTAAGTATTAATAAGTATAAATATTGATCTATTTTAAATACGAATAAATAATAAGAAAACTTCTTTTTTTTTTGAGTTTTTTTCTTCATTGTCTTACAAGATGATGAACGAGGTACTTGAGCATAATAGATATTTGGACGTACGGTAGTAGTAGAAATTGGATGATAGTTTAGGAAAAAAAGTAGTAAGAAATTAAAAATATGTTGAAACATGAAATGAGGCATTAACATAATGCTTGGTTTTGTATTATTATCGTTGTTTTTATCATTATATAATAGACGTAAGTTGTTTCTATTCTTTAGTTTTAATACAATAATCTATGATGAAAGACTCATTGGTGAGTTCTTTCTTCTCTTCTTCTTCTTCTTCTTCTTCTTTTTTTTTCGTTTCTTTTTTCTTGCTTTAATAATAACCACAGTAGGAATAGAGAAGTCGAGAGAGAGAGAGAGAACACGAGAAGGAAAAACGATCAAATTTTTACATCTGGGCAATGTCAAGAAACGAGACTTTCTTTGGTTGAGCGTTCTCTCTTTCTTCTTCCTTTACTCGCGTGTTCTGCGTTTCTCTGTTCGCTTGCTTTGTTCTTATTTCTTTCTTCAGGGCAGTTAATGCCATAGCAAGAACAGAATGGAAAGAAGAAGAAGAAGAAGAAAAAGAAGAAAGAAAGATATCAACTACCACTGTTCTCGTAGCCTTTTTTTTTGATGTCTGCTTGGAATATACAAACAAAAAAGAAGTGCGCTTTCGCTTCATAAAAGAAAGCAAGAAAGGAAGAGATGGAAAAGAATGGGAACAACATAAAAAATGCTCGAATATATATAAGAGGTTGATGAAGTCGAATCGCATCACATGCATGTTTATATATATATACATATTTATGTCTATATGTAATATGACGCTGTAGTCATGCACATGATCTGATTTATGACAAGATAGATGTTGGCCTGATTTGCTTATCTAATTAAACATTTAATTGAACATTTATATATGTATAAGACATAGAAAATAAAATCAAGCATGGTTATTGTATTGTAAAACCTTGAAATTTCTTTCACACATTTTTTTTTCTCTCTCCTTCTCTCTCTTTATATGTCAATCGATCATCCTTCTTTCCGTGTAACATAAATCAAATATAATAATGGCTGCCACTCATCTGAGTATATGCGCATGTATTAACGACAGGATGTCGTTCTGTCAACATCACACACACACAGTGTAAGAGAAAGAGAAAATGTCCTTTGTTCTTTCTTTTCTCGTTTTTTTTTGAATCCTTAAGAAGTTCAAGACATTGAATATATTAAGTAAAAAAACATCTAAACTTACTATTCATATTAACATGAAACTGGTATTCAATAGTTGATGAATTTTGTCCATTACGATCAGAACATCGTGCAGAAAAATGTAAAGTTCGATTTGGATGGACACCTTAATAATAAAATAAATAAAAAATAAACTATTTATTAACACATACTAAATGGCTCCTTGGCATCAATTTGTATATCTAGTTTTTTAATTGTATTATCAAATGATTGTGTTTGAATTGTTCGATTTTTTTTACCAAGTTCAATAATAGTTATATAAATTTTATCTATAGCATTGACATTAGCTGGTAAATCCCAAGTCACACTTAATGTATGAGCATTGACAATATATGCTGTTAGATTACTTGGTGCTAATTGTCCTAAAATAAAACGAAAAATTCAATTTGCGGGAAATAAATATATATATATAGATATTTTTTCTTTTTAAGAATTTTTTTTTATCCTGACATTGATGGATCTATCTAATCTTAACAATGGAATACTCATGTCCGAAAATAAACATCAGTATAATCCTACATATGGTATCGATTTATCTTCTGTTATTGATCAATGTAAGATGAATAAACAGGAAAGAACTTGTCATTTATGTTGTCTATTTGCTTTAAAATGTATTCATCAAATTGAACCATTGAATTATTCAAAAATTCAATATAAAAATGAAATAAATTCAAATGCAATTCTCTCATCCATAAATATTTGGAAAAATGATATGAAATCGAATCATTCTCCATTATATGATATTCCTTTATGTTTTCATAAAGATTTTTCTTCTTTAAATCAAAAATCATTCAATAATACTGATATTATCGAACCAATTACATTAATTGATCATGTGAGTTAAACAAATGACTAATATATTCTTCTCTAAGCAGAAATTTACCTCTGTCATGCAACGAACAAACTATATAATTAGACAAGATATTATTTATCAATAATAAGATGTTAATCATTATTAGAATTTCTGTAAGACGAAAATAATTATATTCATCATTAGGATTCTCTTCGTTGATTATTATCAGTTACCGAAGATAGAAAATCCTACGAGGACAAAAGGAAGTACATGGTTAATGATGCCATACATATTTCCGGAAATAATTTTTAGAGCAAAAAAAATATTATGAACATCATGATTTTCAAAAAACAGGCGACTCGGTACATAGAAGTTTTGACCTGAGATTTTTTTCTAAGAGATGAATGTCATAGATCTCGTTTGTCGTTACATTTATCTCGTGTAAAGATGCGACATCTACTGAATTTCTTCGATGCGATAGATTGTCGGTTCGATGATAGAATCTTGTTCACTAATTAGCTTAGTAATAATTTGTTTTTGTATAAACTAAATCTAGTTTCTAAACAAAAGTACTAATGATTAGTTTCCGTTTTTTATAAAAGAATTGATCGAGACTATAAAATCAATCATTCGAACAAGGACAGGCACAGATATATGCACGAATGAATCAATGATCAAAATCTAGCTTATCTATTGTTGTCTTTTCTTACTTAATTATATAAATAAAAACTAAATTTCAAAAGTTTAATTCTATAGTTTTCACAAGATGAAAATCAATTAATTAAAAACACTTCATCATTATCAGATTATATTAAAAAATATTCTATTCATCAGGCATGTTTATGTTTATTTTAATTCTATAAGTCAAATTTTATTATTTAGTCGATTATATTTCTTTTCCTAAACTAAAGAATAATGATGCATTTTCTTCTTCTTCCTCATCATCATCCGATTGTTCACGATCGAAAATAACAAAAAAACTAGTAAATACAACGTTTATCTTTCTTTCGTTTATAATAAAAGCATCATTTATATAATAGAAATTGATGAATAAAGAAATCTCGATCAAAAGACTATCTTCAACACATTCTCAATCAAATGAAAAATCAATATTAATTGACAATAGATGTAATTATATTACAAAATAAATCATGTCGTTCTTCTTCTTCAAAAAAAGAAATCTTTTTCCTAGTAAGGAAATTTCAAAAACAATCACAAATAACAATTAATCAATATCTTCAAGATATAAATACAAATAATGAAGCCTATCTTACTCAACCTAAATCGAAATCAATTGAAATAAATTCTATATCGAAAGTTAAATGTCCATGTTGTGGATATAAACAATCGATTAATTCGAATTCTATTCAACAACTACTACCAACTGTTCCGAAATGTCTTAATAGAAATTCGAACTCATTCGTAGAGGAAAATATTTTCGATTCATCTTTACTTCAATACGAAATATTTAATTTTAAACAACAAGTGAATTATTTTTGTCGAAAACATTGTCTATGTTCATTAGAAAAATTATTTTACTATTAAAAATCCTTATGGACGAACGGGTTTATTTGAAAACTTAATATCATCGATGGGAATTACCGAAAACAAAAAACTTGGTTTTTACTAGAATATTTACATAGACTAAATAATCTTGAACATTTTGATTTTGATTTAATTAAATTTTATCTATAGACTGGATAGAACAAAATTCAATCATTGTCCATCAGACGGTCAACGAATGCTTAAGGCTACTTTTTCCATTCTCAATGATTCATTTTGCTTTCATTTCTCGCTTATTCACTTATTAAATTTACACATGATTTAACTATCACTACTAAAAGATAAAATTAATCTCGTTTTTTTTGTTGCTTCTGTTATCTTATATTGAATTTTGATTTCGAATATAGAACAATCAATAAAACGATTGCAAAAATCTTCTTGTACTTAGATCTATTTAAAGTATTTGATCAATAAAGACATTTTCTTCCTTTCACTTCATTCTCGATCAAGTATCTTTAAGTAAAATATGAATTAGTTGTGTGCCTGTCACGCACTAAATAGAGAACGGCAACTTCCGGCAAAGAATATACACACATTCTAAATTGGGCATTACTATGACCAGTTCTATTTAGACAATCGTGACCTATGACATATGGTGACGTAAGAAGAAAAAAAAACAAGTTTTCCCAGCAGCTAAGAATAGTAAATTAGATACAACATCTTGTTTGAAAACATCACTAGCCGGACAACAATCAATTGAGCTAACCTCATTATACGCTTCAATGCATTACACAACTGACACGCAGACTCTTATTTAATAAGATCCTTTCTCTAGCTATTGTAAAGAAATGTATCCACCTGAACTTATAGAATAAACTCTTATTTATCTTCCTGTTGGATAAATATATATATTCACTATGGAAATCTATACAAGAATAGACAATTATTGATAGACACATCGCTACCCCCTACTAGCAAGAAATGCAGTAGAGTAAGACTGGCTATCACCACTACTACTCTACGTCTTTGTATGTGAAGAAGAGGGGAGAGAGAGAGAGAGAGAGAGAGAAAAGCTGAGAATTGCATAAGAACTTTCATTATTGATTTCTGTCTGTTTGGTAGAGTAGTAGTAGTAGTAGTGCTGCTGTTACTGTTCCTAATAGTGATGAGCATACATCGGCAAGATAACGGAGTATTCTTTCTATCTTTTTTTTTCTTCATAACAATTATTGCTCTTCAATATATATATATATATACAAGAAAAAGAACTAGAATATAAAAAAAACGCAAAGAATAAGAAAACGTAATTTTTCTTCTCATTTTCTCCTTTCTGGAGCGTTAAGGGCGTGTCCAAAGATCATCACTATGATCAATCACTCTTCATTTATATACACGCTAAGCAATCTTTCATAATATATATATATATGTGTATTCAAATTATAAATAATAGTGGGTTAAGATAAAAAAAAAAGAATACTAAGATATTCTTTATTAATTTCACTCACGAAAATCTTCCTTTGGTACAGTAAATATAAATGGTACACTTGGTTTTCCATCGCCTTTTTTTGTAAATGCTTTCACTTGTGCATGATATGTTGTACCAGGCGTTAAATTACCAACAATATCCCAATATTGTGTACCAATAGTACCTTCATAATTACGATGTACAATAGGTGGTTGCATTGATAAAGGTGCAAAAACGATAACATAAAAACCTTTTATCATACCACCAAGTAATGAGATATCATCAGGATTATTTGTATCAAGTGGATATATCCATGATATATTTGCTGTTGTTTGATTAATCATATATGCGTTTACATTAATCGGTGCGACAAGTGGAACTAGAATTGATAGCAAGACGAATATTGGCCACATCCGCATACGAACTGCTTGACTGGCTGGCTGACGATGTTCAAAACAGATCGAGTAGATCTACGACAACCGACTGTTTCTTTCTCCTTTTCTCGTCTTCTCTCTTTCTTTCTTTACATCCACCATCACCATCTATCCGAAATTATTTTCCCTTCTCCTTTTTGCTCTCTCTCTCTCCCCTTCTCGTTCTCTTCTCTCCTCTCCTTTCATTGTCTCCTTCTCTCTTTCTCTTCGTTTTATACTTTGCAATAAGCATCGTAGAGCACAGGAACAGTTTATTCTATTTATTTCATCATCTTTTTTTCTTTGACGACATACAAAGACGACGACTTCTTCATTAGAAGATCTCCGCCCTTCTATATTGCAGACGAGAACAAGGAACACACACATCTCAATGCTATGTTATTTGAGAAATTATCCTTTCCGCCGATCATCCGATACTGAGTTCAAGCTTAAAAAGCATGCTAACACAAAAAAAATCGAGTAATATTTATTAATCATCAGTTGCTCATTTCTCTACTTTTACATATATATATATATCTCTATATTATTTTTTCATTTCTTTTCCACATATTCCATAGTCTAATGATGATCATAATATGAGATATCCAAGCGTGTTAAGATTGTCACTTAAATGAATGAAAGAGCAACACATTCTTATACATAGATAGACGACAAGACATTAATGATGTTTTTATTAATTGTGGCATTTCAAATGATATGAATACATCCAATGGGACAGATAAAATGGACAGTTGTCCGTCTGGTTGACTATTGTGTTTACTAATGAAATGGATAGTTCGAAAAAGGAAGATCAATTGCTACTGTCATTCTAAATTAGCTGACCAATTCTTCTTAGTTGAATAAATATAAGAAAATATTAGTTAGCTATCTCATCTTTTAATTTCTTCTTTTTTTTTTGTTTGAAATAATTCTTCTTCTTTTTTTCATGCTTGTCGGTTGTTTGCAATGCGGAAAAAGAATATAAGTGAAAGGTAGTATGTTAATTTTAAGTGGTAGACAGCTGCTTGCTCTTTTGTCTTCTCTCATGCAGTTTTATGAGAGAGCGAACAAGTGAAATACAGAAGGAAATGAACCTTGGATGTGTCATCTTCCGTTAGAAAAACGCAGTTATCTGATGTGTAACGCAACCAGGCATAGCTGACACATCTTTTTTTCTTTTTGTCCTATTGAAAGTTTTTCCAAGACTTGTTGCTGTTATTACTACCACTAAGCTCATTTGTCGTCAGTAATAAAGTCGACTGAGAAGCATCTATATTGATTCTGTTCTTTTGTAAATGTATTTCAAAAAAAAAAAAGAAGAAGAAGACAAAGCTTTGCATGAGCCGACTCGCTATAATTGGAAAAAAACGTTAAATGATGACTATGACATCGGGGGGTAACAATGATAATGATGACAACGAATATATATGTACTCTACTGGGGATTTTTCCTTTTTTTCTGCTCTTAATCATGTTCATAAGATATCTATCAATAAAATTATTCCCTCTATATATAGATATTTCTCATGGATTTCGTTAAAAATGTTTTTGCTGCTTCAATAATCATAAGCATAAATATATGCTGATAGTTCAATGAAGCAGGTGTATTATTCGATAATAGAATTGTGACCATGCCAGTAAAGATATATTATTAATTATAGTTTTATATAAACTAGATTTTCCTCTATCCAAGATATTTTTTTCAATAATAATGAACGTAACTTTATATGTATGCATATATATATAAGTATATATGGATAGATAGGCTTAAATTCGCTATTGCCTGTTAACTATCCTCTGCTTGACATAAAGGTCAATACTTAGTGAGAAGAAAAGAGTAGGTTCGATTGACGATTATTAGTGGGCAAAGTTGTACTTTTCTTGTCTTGCGTCATTCTATCATAAGTAAAGGGAGGGAGGGAGGAGGAGGAAGAAAAGGAAAAGGAAAAACTATGCTTGTTATTCTCTAATTGATTAAACCACAAAAAATCTTTGTTACTCAAGAATTTTGAACACTGTTACATGATATGTGTTTTGTTGGTCAAAAAATAAAAATTTGAAAAGTAATCAAATTGAATCTTGTCAATTCTATAAGACTTAATCTAAGCAGAAAAAGAAGATTATATGAAAGAATATTTTCCATGTCTGCAAGGCTAAACTTTCTTTTCTTTGAATTAATTCCCAAATGAAAAAAAAACAAAATTATAATGCTAGAGGGAATACAAAGAGACGACTTTGATTTTCTTATATAAAATATTTATTTCTAAACAAATTATTTTTTTTCTTTTTATTTTATTAATTAAAAAAACTAGATCGGATTTAAAGGTTTTTTTTTTCATTCTTCTTTTTCTAATCTTATAAATACAGATTTCAATTAAATCGATCAAGTAAACGAATAGATTTGACAGATAAACGTATGTCGAATGATTGATGATAATCAAAAGACAATATTTTACATTGTCTTCACTTATCATCAATCGATATAATTATTAAAATCAAGATAAATATCAATTTACATTGAACGACAAGAATAAATGCATACATATAGATATATATATATGTATGTATGTATTGTATCCGATCAAGTGGAGAAGAAAAAGAACTAAGTACTATTCATATGTTCCTAATAAAAAAGCTATCTACACAAAAGGACAAGAGTACATGTTATGGATACTGCTTGAAGGTCCGTAAAAGCAATCAACAAATGCCCATTAGCCATTTCTTTTCAGTTCTAACTTATTTGTATAAAATTTTATTATATTTAACAACCTAACAACGTTTATTATTCATACCGATACATAACATTATTTTAGTTTCTAAGAAAAAAAAATTCTAAATATTATTTATCTACTCTAAAGATGGATAATATCAAACAAATTTATGTCATTGAATTTCTCTTATATGTAAATTCTAATCTCAGTACATTCAGAACATCCAAATTAAACTTTATGTTAAATATTCAATTTTCATAGTCATAAAATTAATTTTGTATTCTATCTATTCTTTTTATGATACTACGACTGCAAATTTATAATAGATTTTAATTTTCTCAAATTATTCTTTTTTTATTGTATTTCATATTTTAACTAGGTGTCATATCTTATAATAATAATCCTCATTATTTGCCTAAGAAAGATGAGTGTCACATCAAATTAAGGCATAGCATCAATGAAAACTGAAGCTTATAAACATGAATAGTAACTATATAGTTTTTTTAATTGCTGGAAGTGTTATATTTATTTCTTTGAAGACTAAAAATATCTTTTTCTTTTTTCTTTTTTTGAATTTAAAATAATAATATCATATAATTGATATTAATTTCTATTGTATCAACAATCTATTTTTTACACTGATTAATCTTCTTTAGATTTCTATGTTATGACTAAACGAAAAATAGTTTATATTTGTTTTTATTTGATTTAGTAGTACTTATACTAACATAATTATTTATGAAGAAATCTTATAATTTAGATTGAATTCACATCAAATCTATATTTAGATATTCTTAATCTAACACAATGCCAAAATGCTATTTGACGAGTTGATTTGTCTATTGATAGGTTTCTTAAAAGGATTTTTTTTATCTAGGTTCAAATATTTCTGCATTCAATTGTATGTATATATATATATATATATATATATATACAAAATGAATATAACTCGTTATTCTATATTCTATTTAAAAAACTATATTAAAATGAAAAGCTCTCAAGAAATTTCTTTGAACCTATTTAATATTACCTATGAAAATTTCCATATCACTCAATTTTCTTTTTAATGAATTTTAATAAATTATTCTATTAGAAATGAAATCTGAATATCTTATTTGATGACATTCTTTTCAAGTATCAATCTTAACAGATTCAAATAAAAACAAAAGAATCTAGTCAAGTATGTTCATTGAAAATTCATTTACGATGAAACATTTTCTCAAAATATAAGACAATAGTTACATATACAAATATTCTTTGATCTATCACGTATAAAAATAAGTATTTCTGTCTAGACATTGCCGTAACCAGCCAGTCAAGCATTATTTTATTTGAACAGGAAGTTACCTGTTTCGTCGGTTGTTGCTTCTATACGTGTTGATGGTCCAGATGAATCTGTATAAGAAGAATTTAAATATGCTTGTAAAATAATTTCATATTTTGTTATTGGACGAAGTTCATGTAAAATAATTTGTGTATCATTTGTTTGTTTGACAAACCAGGATTGATTCGAATTTATCGGTCGATATTTTATCGTATAACCATAAACAGATAATGGTAAACGAGTTGGTTTTGTCCATGATAAACGTATAAAATCTTTATCAGTTGCTAATATACGAATATTATTTGGTATTTGAGCGAAATTATTTGTTAAAAATATTAATAGGGAATAAAAAACGATAAAATAGAACATTTCAAAAGCGAAAACTAAATCTTATCTAGATAAATTAATGATTTTTAACAAATAAGAAGAAATAGATACATGTTTCGATTAATTGAAAGTGATTGTTTATGGATAGATTTAGTCGAATAAATAAACTGGTCAGCATAGTGTGAAAGAAAATGAGAAAGATGATGATGATGATCATTTGCAATCAATTTTTTTTCTGACATACAAAGGAGAAGAGAGACAGAGAGAGAGAACGGAAACAGAATGGAAGAAGAACAAGAACGACCTCGATCATCATCGTCTATTCGGCTCGAAGAGAGAGAAATATTGCTTTAACTTAATTGCATTGTCCTCAATACATATTGTGAAATACAATGGATTGAACGATGAAAAAAAAAGGAAGAAAGAAAAGAAGAGCACAAAAAAAAAGAAAATGATTCTATCGACCGATGGTCGTCTAATTAGTTAAACATGATTTGATTCATTTTTTTTTAGTAATTACAACTGACAAACATCCTTCTTCACACACACTGATCTATTAATCCAAGATTTTCTTATGCGATAGTCTTTTAATTAAGACGCGTTTTTTTTTCTTTGTCGTTCTAGCAAAATTTGCATGTGACACATATATATCTAAATCTATGATAAGTGGTCTCTTTTTTACTTAGATCTATGCTAACAATTCATATGTACTTATCATGCAATAAAAAATGTATTGCATGCTGAGTATGCATATGCTCATTAGTCGGTGGACACCTGCCTTTTTTTTATGAAAAAACTGTACAAGACACGTATTGAGAATGAGAGGAAAAAAAAGAGAGAAAGATTGAACCGCATTTTATATCAAGAGAAGAAAAAATGTCAGTTAACCTAAGTTAAAATTGACATCTATCAACTTCATTGTTCTTTTTTTGTTCTTATTTTCCGATTATGATCGTTACTTTTCTTTTTTCTTCTCTCTCTCTTCAATTACCGATTTTTACAACATTTAGTATTCAAGTAGATTTTTCTCGTCCGTACACACTTTTCTATTATTCCCGATCTTTTTTTTTCTTTTAAAAAAAAATTTCAAACGTTTCCATACAATGTAACAATTGTTTACTCAGTGGTAAATATTCCGATAAAAATTAAAGCAATATATCAAAATACCATATAGTACGCTCTTATGAGCAATTGATAAGATATAGAAAAGATCAGCCTTGACATATAATTTCCATTAGAAAAGCAATCGATTACAAACTATATTCTCGAATAAAGGAAAAATTTGCATTTCTTACCATATTTTCTTGTTAAAGTACAATATATTGCTGGTTGTGTCATTGTCATCTGATTATCATTGTGATCAATAAAAGCAAGATGTAATCTTAATATATGATGTTGATTATAATTTAAATCAAATAATGAACTATTAAATTCATATTTATATAAATCATAAGATTGTTGTTTATTAATTGATATCGAACTTATTGGTATGAGTAATTTATGTATTAAATCATCATTATTTTCTGTTATATCAAAATAATATAATATATATTTATTAATATATAAACGTGATTCATAATCAATAGACCATTGAATAGAAAACAATTGATTTTTATCATCCGATGAACATTGAAATTTGTCTATTGTTGATATTAATTGATGATTTATTATAGTACGATTTATTATATGAAAATCGCTCAAGGTTGAACCTTTAGCATTAACGGTTGCAATACGAATAAATAGAAGATGATTTGGAGGTATTGAAAGTGATAGAGTATAAAATGGATATGTTCGAACAATAATATGAGACCATTGTTCAAATGGGATCGATGTATTTATTGTATAATAGAGAACGTAATACTAAAATAGAAGATAAAAAAATCAATTGATATACACAGATTTATTTATTTATTCTCATGTAAATATTTTCTCAGCGATTAAGTATCATCATAATAATTAATTATTTTATTATACAGATAAAATCTTAAGTTTAAAAATATTATTCATATATCCTTGAGAATTTCATAGTAGTTAACCTGTCAATTTTGTTTACAACGTTAGATACTATTTTTATCTCAATTATTAACTTTTTTGAATATACATAATAATGGAATAAAAATGTCAATATTAATGATTAACAATGAATAGATATTTAGATTAGGATGTAGAAAGATTGATGATATTCGAGATAAATTAAAAATTCTTATCATCAAAATAATAAGCTTAATGTAGGAATACGTCTTATCTATATATAATGTTCATAAGTGAATATATTAGCCTAGTAAATTATTTATTTCCTCATAATGTTTGAATAATATTCATTATTTCTTTTTTTAAAAAAAATCATAGAAAATAATTTATCAAAGTCGGAGTTTTCGGTCCACGTCTTTTGTTCTTTTGAATAAAAATGTCATAGAATTTTCTTAATTTAAAACACATTTTCTCTCATCCAACTCAACAAGTCATATTCAACCATCAGAAGAAAAAAAACTAGTAGACTGAAAAAATGTATAATAGACACATTCACATCTCCTATGTTAAGCTTATTATTTTGCTAGTTCGATATGTCATTGTACTCGAATCAGCACTTATAAGATTTCATTTAAAAATATTCTAGGAACTATGTAACATATTTACTAGATCTGTCTATATAAAGTTCAACTCATACTTTTATTTTAATCTACGAAGCGTAGCTATTTATAGGTATTCCTAGTTGACCTAATATTTTTAGTTCTTTATATAATTATCTTCCATGTGAATTTATCCCTATTTAAAATGTTGATCAGTGTTTATTTTTCCTTCAATCCTTGTTATTTATGTCTTAGTTTTATATTTATAGAAGTTTTAATGAACAGCAAAAGAAGATTTATCGTAAAAGTAAGAAGATTAGGAAATACTAATTAAATATTTACGTTAATCATCAATCATTTGTTTTTTTTCTTGAACAAGAGAAAACAAAAAAGAGTAGAGATATTCAAATTTAGAGTATTATTGAGTACATGAAATAACTAAATAATGAATTTTTTATAAGAATAAGAAAAAGTAATTATTCTGAAAAGATTCAAGGATGGAAGTAATTCTAAAATTGCTGGTATATAAAATCTAACTGAAATAAATATTCCTTAC